AAAAAAAAAAAAAAAAAAAAAAAAGATTACCCAGGTGAAATGTCAGGCTTCTAGTTATGTATGGGCTTCTGTAAGTAAGGTTAAGTAGTATATTAACAGTTAGAATTGACGAAGTTCTCTATCTCCTCCATAAGGGTATAGAAATGATCATTATTTGGCAAGAAGTAGAAACCAATAGTGGCCTCCTTTAGGTAAAGAAGTTTGGCATCTTGGCCAGAATTCTTAAGACCTTCCACATATTCCAATTGCCAATCTTGGAGAAGATCCAAACCAGCCACACAAACAAGACTCTTGGGGAACTTGAGTCCTGCAAGGCTTTTACCCTTGGGGCCAAACGGGTTACACGCCGGATGGTCTCTATCCGCACCTTCAGGAAGAAAAGCTCTCCAGTACCAGTCCCTGTCTTGCAGCCTCACAAAGTACTTGCCATCCAGTTTCTTCTCTGACTCGGTTCGCTTCTCCCCACCAAACAGTGGATGAAGAAGAATGTTACCAAGCACCTCAATATCTTCCTCAGCAGCCCTCACAGCCACATGATGAGCAATATTACCACCAGAACTATCCCCAGCCAAGTACACATGAACCTTGGAATCCTTTCCACTCTGAAGCCACGTCCTTGACTTAACCCACTTAAGCGCCGCCCAGCCATCGTCATAGGCACAAGGATACCGGTACTCCGGCGATCGCCTGTAGTTTACAGAAACAACCACGGCCTTGCAAATGCTCACAAGGCGGCGGCAGAAAGTGTCATAGATAGCACTGTTCGCGGATGAATGAGAGAAGCTTCCACCGTGGAAGAAAATTATAACAGGAACAATCTCTGTTGTGCTCAGAGGCTTCTCCAACTCTATTATGCTACACCGAGACTCGTTTTGGGGAGCTAGTTGATACACCCTGTTGAAGAGCCCGGTGTTTCGATCAACATGATCAAAAGAGAACACTCCATCAACCGGAATTGTATTAGCCGGGACCTTGCGGTCGAGGAATTCTGCCAACTCTCGATTGAATGTTCCATCAGCACGTCTTAGAAGATTGTAAGCCAGCTTGAAATTGGATATAAGCACCCAAGTATTGAGTGGAACAACACTCTACAAAGATTGAAAAGATATTATTAGAAGCTAGAACCTTATCCATGAGAACTAAGCATTCCATTTAACAATCTAGTACTTGAAAGAAAATTTTCAGATTGATTCCTCAAATCAGATAACACCAGCACCAAGCTGAAACCCCTTCCCCCTCTAATCAGGGCACTAACCAGAAAGTTTCCTAGATGGCACTATTAACAGAATAATAAGAAAAGCAAGAAATTATCCAAAGGAAAAGCTTTTAAATTAGAGTATAACCAAGGATTACAAAAGGTTACACGCCCAACAAATCTTCCGGAAAAGAGAGGAATTTTCAACTTGCGCCACCAAATCAAACTCGAAATTTCCAACTTACCAGAACAAGAAACCCAGCCCTACATGTAAGAAAAACAAAGTACAATAAAAACCAAAAAGCCCCAAAAACCACATCATCCTATAGGTGCCACCATTATTAACTAAACCCAGAAATATAAGAGAGAGAGTGAGAGACAACACTCTGTAACCCAGATACGTTCTCCGTCCTTGGCCCTGCAATTGAAGCCAAAGATTAAAACTTTCCCCCTTCATCCCCGCAACCCATCATGGCGCATCACAGAATCAGAAGAAACAAAGCAAGGAAGAGAGAGAAAGACATAAAAGGAAGCTGAGGTAAAATAGGAAGAAGCGAAAAGAAGATGGTATTGTTACCTTAGATTCATTGAGGTTGAGTTCATTACTGCCAGTCATGTCTGCGTTTGGTCTGTTATCTGTATAGCGAAGAGAGAAAAGCGAATCCAGAGAAGCAGGGTCAAAGGGCAAGAGTGATCCAGAGAAGCGAGGTCTTATGGCGCGTCATAATAAAGGAAAAGAGAGGGTGTGTGGGTGTGGGTGTGGGTGGAAGGAGGGAAAGTTAAATGAAGAAAGGGAAGTGGAAGAGAGTGAATAAGAAGAGGAAGAAGGAGAGAGAAGGGTCAAACGACGGGGATGGGGGATGGACGGAGACGAAAGAGACGACAAAGCTGGCGGCCGAATTAAACTGTTTAAGTGGGGCCCAGCATCTGAGGATAATTAATTAACAAGTGTTTTGTAATTGGTTGCGGTATTTGGGAAATAAATTCATTTCAATCGCTATTTTTCTTTTATCCTTGTTTTGTTTGTATGCTTGTGGGAGAAATGACTTGTGACGTACAACCTTCTGTACACAAGCTTTCTTGATGGCTATTGACAACCCCGTTTTGGCCTTGTTTACAATATGCTGTTGCTGTTGGGTCTTGGAGATAAGAGCTATCAACATTTCTCATATGCCCCTTCACCTTTTTTCTTCTTTTAGAAGGGGGAGCCTTTGCTATAAAAAATAAAGCAATGCCCAATGTCAACACTTCACCCATGCTATAACTCCACCTTACTGCCTTCCATTTTAACTTGCTTCCTTCATTTTATTTGCATAGAAAAGGAGATTTTGAATTAAATTTAAGTCAATTTTAAACATTATTTAACCCATTTTTTAGAAATATAAAAACAAATCTTTCATTTTAGTTTTAACTTCTCAAAAGTTTATTCATTTATCAAAAGTGTAAAAAAAGTTTAACCTTTGCATAACTTTTCAAATGCTTAGCTTGAATTATATTTTTCAATAGTTGGTATAACTCAACAGGTTGAGTTGATTCATTAGATTGACTTATATTTTTCTTTACTTTATTACTTATTATCATTAATTTTGAGTATTTTTTTTATTTCTTGTTCAATTGTTTGTTAATAATTTATTTATGATTATATTGTGTATTTATTTTACTGTTATTAATAAGTTTATTTGTGATTATATTGTAGACTTATTTTAATGTTATTAATAAACTTATTTAAATATTGTTGATTTTCTTATTAAATACATGTCCCATTAAAATAATATTTGAATCATTTGATCCATGATAGTTTATAATATTTTTATTTTTTAATTGTATTTGATTATAATTTTAAAAAAAATTAAGAAAAATGAAATTTATAATTTTTGAATGAGTTGGTCAGTCAATTCTACTCGTTTGAATTTGACCAATATAAAATTTAAATTAAATCTAAGTCTTTATCTTTCTTTAATTGTGACTAAATATGGACTTAAATTTATTTAATGAAATATAGGACACAAGTTTTAAATTCTATGTACAAGTTAAATATGATTTTTTAACTCAATTTTATCTTAGTTCAATCTAAGTTTAACACATAAAAATCATAACCATTATATGCCACATCCAGTTGACCCAAATATGCTTAATGAATAGGAATTGAAGCAGTGAGGTAGTTATAGGGAGAATAGAGTGAAAACTGAAAACATGGTAGGGCAAGGGTTGTAGCTAAGTGGAAAATCTTGGGGTGGGAAAAGAAGCTATGAGCCTATGAGGAAGGAGACAAATGACTTCACAGCGTGCGCCCGACGCCAAGGCACGTGCCGACAAAGGGTTCCGTCTCCACGCTTTACGTTCTGCCAAACGCGCCCTCCGCACCCAATTCCCCATACTACCCTCCTCGCTCCCACAATACTCCCTAAATGCCACTGACCATGACAGCTCTTTTGTCCAATACCCAATACCCTACACACACAACCATCAAAACCAACAACCTTTTTTTAATATTTTTATACTTTTATCAACTTTATCATCTCCTTTTTATAAATATAACTATTCATGAAATAGGTTGGGACGAGTTTGTTTGAGTTCTTATATAGTCCAAAAAAAAAAAATTTAAGGTAAATTTTATAAAATTGAATTTGATATAATCAAGACTCAATAAATATGAAAATGAGATTAAGTTACTCTAATTTGTTAATATAATATATTAATTTAACATTACTTATACTTAAAGTGAGAATTTTAAAAAAATTACTTACAAATAAAGTATATTTTACGAGATATATTTCAAGATAAATAATATCAATATAAATATAATATTATACAAGATATTATTTATTAATCTAATAAGACATATTAATAATATGTAATTATTTTTTAAAAAAATAATTAGATATATGATATTAGACTTGGTTGAGATGACTAAAAAATAACTCGAACTCACCCTAAAATATATAAAGTCCAGTTTGTTAAATCTAAATATGTCAAAAAGTTATATTGGGTCTAGTTAGGACACCATCACCCTTATTTTTTATTTTTTTTTGTAAAGAAATCACCCTTATTTAAGATAGTTAAAGTTCAAACATTAAAAAAAAGTATATTTTTAAAAATTTTAGTAAGAATTTATATATTTATTTTTAGGTACATTAAAATCTCATTTATTAAAGATAATTTTTAAAAAAATGTCATAATTATTTTTTATTCTAGTTAGTTAATGTAAATATTTATAGTTATTGAATTGGGATTATTAAGCTTTTATTTTAACTAAGTCAATAAATAATCAATATAATCCTTTATATATTAGCTAAAATAAGACATTTTATGCCTTGTTATTTCATAGGGGGGGTGTGGAAGTTACAAGATGAGTGTGAAAAATATTATATTGTCTTTACATGTTAGTAATGTAAAAGAGACTTTTGTACCTCTTTATATTCTAAAACGAATATTAGAGTAAGCGGTTAGAGAAAAAAGTTTGAAGTGAGTCATGAATGATTATAATTTATAGGAGTAAAATAGTCAAAAAATTATGTATATAAAAATAAAATTTTAGTGAAAATACTGGGTGATTATTAAAAAATTAATATATATATATATATAAGTACAAATTTTAGTGAAGTAGTGGATGATTATTAAAAGATTTAAAGAAAAAACTTACATATCAAAATACTTTTCTGCCCTTTGTTAATTATTATTATTATTATTATTATTATTATTATTATTATTATTATATAGTTTTTGAAGAGTTAAAATTATAAAAATAATGTGCAAACAAAAATATGAAATAACTTTTATATATAAGTACAGATTATTAGGATGGTCAAAGTATTAGACTAATAAAACACTTCCTTTAGGACTTTTACAAAAAAAAATATTTTTAACACAAATATTTATATAATTTTAAAGATTTATGATTCAAAAGTTACTTTTTTATTCTTAAAAATTCATTCTAAAAGATTTATCTCTACAAGATATATAAATATATTTATTTTTTAAAAATTTATTTATAAAATATTTTTATTTTTATGAAAAATACTATTATTAATTTTTAAAAATCTCACAATATGTCAAGTGAGTCCAGCATATTATATAAATACATAATTCGAAGATTTTACTATTAATTGAATAAACATAAAAGGTTAAAAAATATTTTTTTAATTTATATAATTTTACTTATTTTATTTTTTATCCTATAATTTAAAATATCTTTTTTGTTTTTATACTTATTTTTTTTTATTTTCTTTAGTTTTTATAGTGTAATAGATATTTTTAATTATTATACTTTTATTATTTTTAATCTTTTTAATCCTATTATTAATTTTTTTTGTAACATTATCTATTTTGTATTGATGTGATAAGAGTTTTTAATTTTGTAAAGATAAAAATAATGATGTTTCAATAATAAAATCACAAGTGAGAATATAAAAAAGATACCAAATATCAACAAGTCTAATTTAAAATAATTTTAAAATAATTTCGAAATCAAATGCACAAAATTAAATTAATATTATTGTTATGTCAATATGAAAAAGAAAATATTACTAAAAAAATTAATAATAAATACTAAAAAAAATTAAAATTATAAATATAGAAACTAAAAA